AAAAAAAAAAAAAAAAAAAAAAAAAAACCTTTTGAGTTGATAACCAGGCTAGCCGAGTACAGACAGACAGTTAGATAACAAGTGTGAGAATACTTACAAGGGGAGATAGATTCAATAATGTACTGAGCTAGCTTGATTATCACTTCAAAAGTTTTTTTTCTCTTAATTAATTGGCCTCTCAGAGGTGGTAAGACAACTCCCACCTGTTTATGCTCTCTGTATGTGTGTATATATATCTCCTCAATATATGTTCCATTCTATATGCATCCGAAGAAGTGGGCTGTAGTCCACGAAAGCTTATGCTCTAATAAATTTGTTAGTCTCTAAGGTGCCACAAGTCCTCCTGTTCTTCTTTTTTATAAATCCATGGTATGCCCACATCTTGAATACTGTGTGCAGATGTGGTTGCCCCATCTGAAAAAAGATAAATTGGAAAAGGTTCAGAAAAAGGCAACAGAAATGATTAGGGGTATGGAATGGCTTCCGTATGAGGAGAGATTAATAAGACTGGGACTTTTCAGCTTGGAAAAGAGACGGCTAAGGGGAGATATGATTGAGGTCTATAAAATCCTTACTGATGTAGAGAAAATAAATAAGGAAGTGTTGTTTACTACTTCTCATAACACAAGAACTAGGGGTCACCAAATGAAATTAATAGGCAGCAGGTTTGAAATAAATAAAAGGAAATATTTCTTCACACAACGCACAGTCAACCTGTGGAACTCCTTGCCGAAGGATGTTGTGAAGGCCAAGACCATAACAAGATTAAAAAAAGAACTAGATAAATTCATGGAGGATAGGTCCATCAATGGCTATTGGCCAGGATGGGCAGGAATGGTGTCCCTAGCCTCTGTTTGCCAGAAGCTGGGAATGAGTGACAGGGGATGGATAACTTGATGATTACCTGTTCTGTTCATTCCCTCTGGGACACTTGGCACTGGCCACTCTCAGAAGACAGGATACTGGGCTAGATGGACCTTTGGTTTGACCCAGTAGGGCCATTCTTACGTTCTTATGTTACTTTCGCAACTTTGATAGCCTTATATTTTGTCTTCCCCTTGATGATGAACAGACCACTTTGTTTTATGTACCTGCCAAAAGCTGGGTCTCTTCTTCCTTTAAGTGACATGTTAAACTAAGCAGAACAATGTCATCAGCAAAAATTAGGTCCTCGAATTGTGGTTTATCATTTATCTATAAAAATGATATGCTGTTATCGATCCTTTATAAAAGCTATAGCTCTGTATAGAGGAGAACATAACAGCAATGTCTCTCCCACATAAGAAGTCACACAGAAATAATCCCCTCTCTTTCTTTGGGAATATATGGCAAGGTAAACTAGTTCTCTTCCTGTCTTGTAGCTAGCTGGAAGTCCAAATAATTATGCTGCTTCATTTAAAAATGCATTTTAGTGCAAAACATCTTGCACTATTTGTTTAAACAAGAATTATTTATAGCAGTTGACAATGCTAGTTTTAATAATATAACGTACGGAATTGACTTAACATTAAGATCAAAGTAGCCATTCACAAGGTTTGATTTCAAAAAGAAAAGAAAACAAAAAATGCACTAATGAAAATAAAATCAGTGGATTCCCTTAGAAAAGGATAGGACAACTAATTTTTCTCTTCTTTATCAGTAGCAGCAGAACCTTGATAATTTATATTAATGACCCAGAGGCCCATTTCTGATTGTCCAAATTAGCAAACAAGCACAACTGTAAAAACAATCAAGGATATTGCATTTTTATTCAGTTATGCTGACAAGTGTAATTTAGTTTTAATTATTTATATTTCAGCATCTTACTAAATTTTCTGTCTTTTTTTTTTAAATAATGAAATCTTAGTATCGTGAGGCCTCGCTGAATCTCTCTATTGTTAAATCTGTTGAAAAGGGAGATGAGGTGCCAAATCCTTGCTGATATCAACTCTCAAGATTGGGCCCTTTTTTGTAAAAATTATCCAGAAGCCCTATGCCTGCTCCTATACGTCCTTCATGCATGGAACTATCATTGAAGTCATGATTTAAACCGGTTTGTGGAAATATAAATGTAATTGAGTAGGGAAACCCAAGAACAAGCAGGTAGTGTAACAGGTTTTCCTAAGGAGGTAACTTATTCACATGCACTCTAGAAGCATATTCCTGTATGGTGCCAAGCACCTCCTGAGAGGCCCTGAATGCCCCAATTCCCATTAACATCACTGTGAACCGAGGTCACTCTGAACCTTGTGGGATCAGATGCATTCAAAGCAAGGGTAGGCTAGTATATGAAAATCTTAGCCCATACCCTTTGGCTGTGCCAGGGGACTGGTGATGATGACTCAAAAGTCCCTTGCAACTCTATAATTTCTTACTCAAATTGGACATTCATTGAGCTTTCCCACAGAAAATTCTTACAAAATCTGAGCTAAATAATGAGCTATGCAATGTTAGTCCAATGCAAATGTGACTCAGATTTTTGGTTTTTTATTTCTGTTTTGGGTTGGGGAGATTTGACAGGGTTCTAGTGAGTCCTGTTACACCTAATACATAATCTTGGCAGAACTAAATTTTAAATTTTTATAATTTTGACAGTTAAGCATTTTGTAAATTTTTATTGTTCAAATTTTCACAGTTGTGGGAAATTATGGGGGTGGGTTCAGACAACAGGATGGGTTAGACAATAATTATTTACTGTCAGTGGACATTAATTTTAAAAAGTTAAACTTTAAAACAATTAAAACACATTGTCAAAATATACAAAATAAATACCTTTAAATTAAACTCAAAGTTCTCAAGCAGCATTTTTCTTACTTTGCCCATCTGTAAATTTCTATTATTGTAAGTAGAAATAGTTTTTTGTTGGCTTGTTCATATACGGTCAAATCAATTTGTACGGACATTTGCCAATTAAAAACCTAATCCTTCCAACCTTGCTCATGTAGTTCCAGCCAGCTGACCTTAGTGCACGTTAGTTTATTGCTATAGCATTATTCAGAACAGTAGACAGGTAGATGTAGGGTTGAGACTACAAAGTTGATGAGGGAATGCATAATTAATAGCTGCACTGAGGAGCAGGCCGCTGGGGAGCTGGTGGCATAACAAATTAATTAGAGTTTTGGTTTGGGGAACAAGCTTGAAGTTCTGCACCATCAGGCAGCCAGTGAAAGCTCTTGCAGTGGGGATCAAAATCACTTTATAAGGACATGTCTACACAATGAGTTACTGTGTGGCAAGTCATAGTGTGAATCTACAGCACACCAGCTGAAAGTCCAAAAGCACAGCAAGCAGCAGCACATAAAGGTCTTTCACTGCACTGTAACAGTGTCCACACTGCGAGTTAATGCACAGTCTATTTTGTCACCTAGGCAAGCTGGGTTTACTGATAGTTGCTATACACCAAAAATAAAAAAAATTCAGGTTGTTTCCAGTCCTAAGAGACCAGTCACTTACCCAGTTCAATTTGTACTTTAGATCTCTCACCAAAGACAATACTTGTAGCCAGTCCTGTATTAAACTAACTAAAGATTTATTAACTAGGAAAAAGAAATGAGACAGTAACCACAAGGCTAAAGCAAGCAAATTTATATACACAAATGAGTTACAGTCTATGGTTTTAAAAGGTGACAATGTTGTAGTAACTTGTCAGCTCTGAATGTATTTTAGGGCTAACCCAGGTTGACCCTAAGGATCTCTGCTTCTGTTTTGTAGCTCTGGCCCAGTCAGAGACCAAACAGCAAAAGAGATGAAAAACTGAAAAAAAAAATTCCTGCCAGATATTTTTATTTCTTTCTTCCAGAATTCAAGCTGCTGGGAGGAACCCTTTTTCATTTAGCTGCTTCATGGGTGTTAAGAGGCAATTAAGAAAGTCTTTGTGTTGTGATGTCTCACAATGGCCCATTTAGTTGTGATAGCTTTCTTGATGAGCAGGAGACAATCTTTCCTGACATCTCCACGGTTCCAGAGCAAACATTTTTTACACTTATAAAGCAAAAACTTAAAGATTACCTTATAGCAGGTGATAAAGATAGAAGTGAGATTAACACATGCAGCAATTTACAAGCATTTCATAAAGCCTAAAACACTAAACACGTTATGAGTTTAATACCCACCTTAGCCATATTAACACACAGGTGAAACAGACTGATTTCCAGCAATGAATTTGTCAGTGCTTGGCTAGGGCCTAAAGCCTTGGCAAGAGCTGGCCCCTCCTTTGCTGGCATTACATAGCCAAGCTGTAAATTAGGAAGAGTTGTTAATATTGTAAGGGGGGGACACACCCTGGGTTGGACATGCCTGCATCCACACACACACCAGGGTGGGCAGAGGAAGTTCAAAAACTTAAAGACAGACCAAAATGAAGTGGGCTGTAGTCCACGAAAGCTTATGCTCTAATAAATTTGTTAGTCTCTAAAGTGCCACAAGTACTCCTGTTCTTTTTGCGGATACAGACTAACACGGCTGCTACTCTGAAACCAACATTACAGTGTAATTTTAAAACATCATATTTGGGCCAATCTCATGATTTTTTGGAGTTTGACTCGTGATTTTTGAACTTTTGGGATTAGCAATACTGTTTAGTGACCATAGACATGTGGAGGCAGCTGCTTAACGCTATGGGGAAAGACTTACACCGTTTTTGGCTGTTTTTACTCTGCTCATATTTGTTGGCCCCAGGCCCCTAACGTGAGGCACCTTTTTCACAGTTAGGCGAATGGTGCGGGGTAGAGATTCACGTGGAAGGGATCACCTGATGGTTCCTCTTGGTACTGACAAGCCAGGTCTAGTATATGTGCTGCCCTCCTCTCCGATCTGCCCTAGTCACTGCCCCTCCCCGCCGGGCTCGCCTCTTGGCCTGAATTGCTCTCGTGTTGCACAGCAGTCAGGTGTTCCCCCACCTCTCTGAACTGCAGTCTGGCCCGTCCCAGCACAGTA